TTTTTTTTGAGACAGTCTTGCTCTGTCACCCAGGCTGGAGTGTAGTGGCTCAATCTTGGCTCATTGCAACCTGTGCTTCTGGGGTTCAAGCAATTCTCCTGCTTCAGCCCGAGTAGCTGGGATTACAGGTGCCTGACACCACACCAGGCTAATTTTTTTTTGTTGTATTTTTAGTAGAGACAGGATTTCACCATGTTGGCCAGGCTGGTCTTGAACTCCTGACCTTGTGATCTGCCTGCTTCGGCCTCCCAAAGTGCTGATATTACAAGGTGAGCCACCATGGTTTTTTGTCTGTTTTGGTTTTTTTAGCAGCTATAGCTTATAAAGCATAATCACAAATTTTATACGCTTCACATCAACTGTGAATTTAGTATCTCCATCATTTTACAGAGGCTGCAGAGGGAGCTCAGAAATGCTGTGATTTATTAAAAGTCATTTTAGGTCGGATGAGGTGGCTCATGCCTGTAATCCCAGCACTTTGGGAGGCAGAGGTGGGTGGATCACCTGAGGTCAGAAGTTCCAGACCAGCCTGGTCAACATGGTGAAACCCCATCTCTACTAAAAATACAAAAATTAGCCAGGTGTGGTGGCAGGTACCTGTAATCTCAGCTACTCAGGAGGCTGAGGCAGGAGAATTGCTTGAACCCAGGAGGCAGAGGTTGCAGTCAGCCAAGATCATGCCATTGCGCTCCAGCCTGGGAGACAAGAGCAAGACTTTGTCTCAAAAAAAAGTTAAAAAGTTATGATAGGCTGGGCGCAGTGGCTCATGCCTGTAATCCCAGAACTTTGGGAGGCCGAGGCGGGCGGATCACGAGGTCAAGAGATCGAGACCATCCTGGCTAACATGGTGAAACTCCATCTCTAATAAAAAATACAAAAATAGCTGGGCATGGTGGCATATGCCTGTAGTCCCAGCTACTTGGGAGGCTGAGACAGGAGAATTGCTTGAACCCAGGAGGTGGAGATTGCAGTGAGCCGAGATTGTGCCACTGCACTCCAGCCTGGTGCCTCAAAACAGAGCAAGGCTGTCTCAAAAAAAAAAAAGTTATGATAATGAAAGACCTAGAGTTAAGATCCAGATATGGGTTCAAACCCAATGCTCTTTCTATTATATCATAGCATTGCTAGGATGATGAAGGCAAAAAAAAGAATTTTTTTAATAGGGAAAATTTGAGACTCACAATAAAGCTAGAATTAGCAAGACTTTAATTGAATAGCTTTAAATTAACTGTCACTGACATTCTGAGAAGAAAGGTGACCAAAGCTTCTTTTCAAACTGAAGATTAATACATTCCCCCTTCTTATTCTTACAGGACATTGATATGCAGCTGGGTGAAATAATGAACAATGTGCATCGAATAATGACTCGCTATACTCTTGTTTTTAACTCACCCTCTGAAAGGAATGTCTCCCTTGCAGAACATAAGAGAAAACAGAGAACCAGTTTTCTTGAGAAAATGGCTACTTACGCTAAGACTGCTGAAATTAGAGAAAAGACTCTTGTCAACATTCTGGTCTGGTTGGAAGAATGGAGTAAGTTTACAGAAGTAGTTCAGAGGAAAACCACAAAGTTAATGAAAAAGATAGAATATATAAGTAAATTTTGAAGGATTAATTAGACTAAAGAAGAAAAGACTAAGGAAGTTAGTCAGAGAATAGTTATCCTCTATTCCAGTAGGAAATAGGAAAAAATATAGGCTTATTCACTTAGTACCAGCTCTGCAGGACTCGTTGCTTTTTTTTAAAGCATGCCAGCAGTGTCTTTATGCATACTATTCCCTTACCTGGAGCATCTTCCACCAGATGGACACATGGTTCATTTCCTGCTTAAATTCCACTTTAAAATGAGATGTTCTCTGACCATGCCCATTCCCTACCACTTGGCACTTTTCTTTACACTTTACCTTTTTTTTTTGGTTGGTTGTTTAGATGAAGTCTCACTCTCTTGCCCAAGCTGGAGTGCAATGGCACAATCTTGGCTCACTGCAACCTCTACCTCCCGGGTTCAAATGATTCTCCTGCCTCAGCCTCCCAAGTAGCTGGGACTACAGGCACCTGCCACCACGCCTGGCTAATTTTTGTATTTTTAGTAGAGAGGGGGTTTCACCATGTTGGTTAGGCTGGTCTCGAATTCCTGACCTTATGATCTGCCTGCCTTGGCTTCCTGAACTGCTGGGATTACAGGTGTTAGCCACTGCACCCGGCCAGTTTCTTTCAATTTCTTCATTGAGAAAAGCTTCAGAATGGCAATAAGTGTGGGATACCTATATTCCCCAATACAACTATATTGAGTAATTACCCAGTATTATAGGCTTATATATAGTTATTTATTTTGCTGCACAAAAATGATTTTTTTTTCTCTCTTCAAGATGCCATTTTGTCTGAGATTACTGTAATGGATGTTGATGAACACCACCACTGGATAGCACAAATGGAGATGTTACCGGAAACATTAAAAGCTATTGACAACAATGTCAAGATACTAAGCAGATTTAGCACATTTTTCCTCGACGAAAAGAAGAAACAAAAGAAAAAAATATGTAAGGGTGCTTTATGATTTTGAAGATGGAGTTTGACTTTTTATTAAAGAAACAGCTTCTTTTTCTTTTTCTTTTTTTATTTTGAGACAGTCTCACTCTATTACCCTCTCACTCTATTACTCTCTTGCCTCAGCCTCTTGAGTAGCTGGGATTATGAGCACCTGCCACCATGCCTGGCTAATTTTTTTGTATTTTTAATAGAGACAGGGGTTTCATCATGTTGGACAGGCTGGTTTCGAACAAGTGATCCGCCAACCTTGGCCTAGAAAAGTGCTAGGATTAGAGGTGTGAGTTACTGCACCCAGCCAACAATCTACTTTGAGAACATTTCCATTATCCAAAAAGATCCCTCATGCTAATTTGTAGTCAATCTCATACCCATCAGCAGCGCCAGACAGTCACTCATGTACTTTCTCTCCCACTACATTTGCTTTTTCTGGATATTTCACACAAACAGAATCATATTATATGTGGTATTTGCTGTCTGTTTTCTTTCAACTAGCACAATGTTTTTGAAATTCAGTTATGTTATAGGACATTTTGGTAATTTCTTTTCATTGCTAGTTTACACAGTTGTTTAGATATACCACGTTTTGTTTACCGATTCACCAGTTGATACACATTTGAACTGTTTCCACTTTGGGCTTTTATGAATAATGCCATTATTTATCCATTTTTTGGGTAGATAGCCAGGGGTGCCATTATTTACTCATTTATTTTGGGTAGATAGCTAGGAGTAGAATTGCTAGGACATATGGTAAGTTTATGTTTAACTTTTTTTTATTTTTTGAGACAGAGTCTAGCTCTGTCACCAGGCTGGAGTGCAGTGGCAGGATCTCAGCTCACTACAACCTCCGCTTCCCAGGTTCAAGCGATTCTCCTGCTCAGCCTCCAGAGTAGCTGGGACTACAAGCACGTGCCACCATGCCTAGCTAATTTTTTGTATTTTTTTTAGTAGAGATGGGGCTTCACCATATTGGTCAGGATGGTCTCGATCTCCTGACCTTATGATCCATCCACCTTGGCCTCCCACAGTGCTGGGATTATAGGCGTAAGCCAAGGCAGCCGGCTTATGTTTAACTTTTAAAGAAACTCTCAACTGTTTTCCAAAATGACTGTACCATTTTGCATTCTCATCAGCAATGTATGCAGGTTCCAATTTCTCCATTTCCTCAATAACACTTGTTATTGTCTTTTTTTATTATGGCCACCCTTGTATATGTGAAGTGGTATCTCACTGTGGTTTTGGTTTACAAGCATTTCCTTTTCTTTTTTTTTTTTTTTGAAACAGAGTTTCATTCTTGTTGCCCAGGCTGGAGTGCAATGGTGCGATTTTGGCTCACTGCCACCTCTGCCTCCCGAGTTCAAGTGATTCTCCTGCCTCAGCCCCCCAAGTAGCTGGGATTACAGGCATGCACCACCACGCCCAGCTAATTTTGTATTTTTAGTAGAGAGGGGGTTTCCCCATGTTGGTCAGACTCTTGAACTCCTGACCTCAGGTGATCCGCCTGCCTCGGCTTCCCAAAGAGCTGGGATTACAGGCGTGAGCCACGGCGCCTGGCCCCGTTTGCATTTTTCTAGGCAAATGATGCTAAGCATGTTTCATGTGCTTATTAACCCTTTCTATATATTTTTTAGTGAAATATCTATTCAAATACTTGCCCAATTTTTTGGTTTTTTTGAGACAGTTTTGCTCTTGTTGCCCAGGCTGGAGTGCAATGGCACGATGTCGGCTCACCGCAACCTCTGCCTCCCGGGTTCAAGCGATTCTCCTGCCTCAGCCTCCTGAGTAGCTGGGATTACAGGCATGTGCCACCATGCATGGCTAATTTTGTATTTTTAGTAGAGATGGGGTTTCTCCATGTTGGTCAGGCTGTCCTCGAACTCCCAACCTCAGGTGAGTTGCCTGCCTCAGCTTCCCAAAGTGCTGGGATTACAGACATGAGCCATCACGCCCGGCCTACTTGTCCATTTTTCAAATTGAGTTTTAACATTTCTTTATACCTTCTGGATATAGGTCTTTTTTTTTTTTTTTTTTTTTTTTTTT